CGCACCCCCTTCCAATCGCCCATGGCCCCTTCTCTCAGCCAGCCCAGCCCTGACTGGGGGCTCTGATGGGGCCTGATCCAGGTGGGCTGGCTAGCCAACCTCCCACCATATCCTCTTCCTGACAGGCCCAGCCCTGATCTGCCCTAATTGGGGCCAGGCTGGCCGGGCCCCACCCATGCACGAATCCATGCACTGGGCCTCTAGTGTATTTATATTATTAATAATTGGGTGACTTTCCCCAAGCTGAGTTCTAACACTAGCCAAGAACAGCCCATTAAGAAGCAGGTATTTATTATGGTGGTCATAGCCTCAGGGACTTGGGTCTCCCTTTAACCACTTGTCCTGCCATCTTGGAAAGGTCAGGAGACATAACCAGCCTATTTTTGGAAAAGAGACCTGAAAGTGGGTTCATGGGAGTTTGGGTTACCACTTTAGAGGATGGTGACAATCTGTTTGCCGGGTGGGTGGAAGCGAATGCATTGGTTCAAATCCCATCCTCCTGACCTATGGGAGTTTTCCATGACTTGAGATAGGAAATGGAGATCACTTGCCCGCTGCCTGTGTTTTTGTTTTGGTGGCCACTCCTTACCTTCTCTCCTTTTTGCCCAGTGCCTTCCCCATCAAGATTCTCCTCCCTCTCTGATTTCAAGGCTTTGGGAATATCACGTAGCTCCTCTCCTAAAGTGAATTTACTAGTATATCACCTATTCCCTTCATAGAGCACCACTGACTGACTCTCAGGCCCCAGTCATCCACCAGACAAATACTGCATATTCATGTCATCAAAGTAGAAATTATTAAGAATCTACATCTAACTAAAGTATTTTCTCTCATGGAAAAAATATCAGAGAATTAGAGGAAACCTTAGTTGATTAAGTCACTGCATATACATTATTAAGTACAGCAGCATACTTTGTAGTTAATAACGCAATTTGAATCTCAGTTTTACCACTTGCAGACTAGGTGAATTTAAACAGGTCACTTAAGTTCTCTGAGCCTCAGTTTCAATAACCCTACTTCATGGGTAGTCACAAGATTAAAGGTACATCGTGCAGCTGCAGTGTTCTGTAAGAGACAAACTTTAAAAAAGATACATTTAGAAACAGGTACTATAACTAATGCAGGAATTGCTGCAGAATTTACCTCTATATAAGCCTTGCATAAAGTAGAAATGAGTCTCAAAATCCAGGCTTTCAACCTGTGAATGATGGAAATTACAAATGCTCAAAAAAAAAAAAAACACCTCAGTTTAATTAACTAATTTAAATAACCTTTATTTTAACTACTAAGAAAGGAGCCTGCTGCCAGAGGATAGGTTGAAATACAGGGGTGAGCAAAAGTAGATTTAGAGTTTTTCAAATGGAAAAAGACATGCAGGTTATGATTATTACGGCAACACTGTTTTACATACTCACAACTGTAAACCTACTTTTGCCCATCCCCTGTATTTAAGACAGATTTGGCAGGATCATTTCAGAGATTCCTTTTTAGATATATTAAACTTCTTATGGGCAAAGTCTTATTTTATTCTACTAAATATCTTCCTTTCTTCATCAGGATTTGCAAAAATCAAAGTCAGAGCTTACATATCTTTATAATGAAATTCACAGTTTTCCAGGGACAACAGAAGACCATTTGTTAATAGCATATAACCTGCTCCAAAGAGAAAATTCTGATTTAGAAACAAAGGTGAGACTGAATTATGAAGTATTTAAATGTTCAATGTATGACATATCTTTTATGAGCATAAGATAAAAGGAAGTTAATTTCAGAAAGAGATGGCTTGGAAATTAGAGTTTCTTTTATTATTATAAAATCTCTCTCATTAAAAAAAATTCAAAAAACTGTTTTGAAAATAATTACAGACTTACAGAAAAGTTGCAAAAATAGTACAAAGAATTGCCATATATGTCCATTTCGCGAAATGTTAATATGGTACCACGTTGCTTTATCATTCTCTCTCTTTCTGCACACATACACACACTTTATTTTCTGAACACTTCAAGAATAAGTTGGAGTCATAGTTAATACTCCTTTACCACTAAATATTTCCATGTATGTTTGCTAAGAAAATTATCTCTTTGTCATAGTAGACCTCAAAATCAAGAAATCAACCTTCATATAGTATACTAGAGGCTCGGGGCACAAAATTTGTGCACAGGGGGCAGGGTGGCCTCAGCCTAGCCTGCACCCTCTCCAATTCAGGACCCCTCAGGGGATGTCTGACTGCCAGTTTAGGCCCAATCCCCGGAAGTGGGCCTAAACCGGCAGTTGGATATCCCGCTCACAACCCTGGACCACTGGCTCCTAATCGTTCACCTGCCTGCCTGCCTGGTTGCCCCAACTGTCCCGCCCCCCGCCCCCCCGCTGCCGGCCTGATTGCCCCCTCACTGCCTCTGCGTGCCAGCCTAATCACCCCTAACTGCCCCCCATCCCCCACTGGCCTGGTTGCCCTCAACTGACCCGCCAGCCTGGTCGCTCCACACAGCCTGCTGTTCAGTCGTTTGGTCATCCCTCACTAGCCCCCCTGCTGGCCTGGTTGTAGGCAGCCATCTTGTGAGGGCATGAGGGTTAATTTGCATATCACTTCTTTATTATATAGGATTGTATAATCTCCAGCTCATATTCAAATTTCACCAATTGTTCTACTCTATTGCAAAAGAAGAACAATTTTTCTAGTCCAGGATACAATCCAGGAGCATACATAACATCTCTATCTCCTTTAATCTGTAACAGTTCCTCAGTCTTTGTTATTCATGACATTGAAATTTTTGAAGAGTACAGATCATTTACTTTTTTTTTAAACCTTCACCTGAGGATATTTCTCCATTGATTTTTAGAGAGAGTGGAAGAGAGAGGGAAAGACAGAGAGAAGTATCAGTGTGAGAGAAACAGACTGATTGGTTGTCTCCTGATGTGCCCTTAACCAGAATCGAACCCAGAACCCTTCCATCTTCAGGCTGACACTATCCAGTGAACCAAACCGGTCAGGGCTGTAATGGTTAAATTTTTACATTGACCCCATAAAAAAAGGATTAAGTAGCCTTTTGAAACTCTTTTATTTTTTTCAGCTTACAAAAGTAATGCAGACCTATTAAGAATTCTTCTCTTTCAAGTCCATTCGTAAAGTGACTACACCTCTCAATCTTACCTTATTTCCTCAGCTCCTTATTTTGTAGTCTCTACTCCATTAAGACCATTCTCCTTCCTTCTGCTCAAGTACCACACCAATGCCTTTGATCATATTGCTCATCCTTAAAATGCTTTAAATGTGTTATAGTCTCTCACCTATCCATATCTTCCCATCCCCTAAGGATCAATTCAAGATTATAGTTTATATCTTCAGAGAAGGGAAAAGCCTAGGAAACCAAACAAAAGAATCTCATAAAGTAACTTAAATTGATCTTTAGAATTGCATTCATTGTGTTCTTAGAATCAAACACATCCTTATGTCTGTGGTAAAAATGGATTTGATTATACAGTAATAACTGCAAAGTATTAAACTGAAAGAACACTTAAACTAGGATGTCCATTTATATTACTTAAGGCAATACCTACTCAATCATTTAATGGAATCAATATATTTTTTCACAGTTATACATAAGAATATGCAAAATAGAATATTTGTCTTTTTAATTCACAGGTCTTGAAGCTTGCAGAAGAATTTGAACAATTAAATCATTTTACTGTAGACACAAATATTGCAGCTGCTAATTTTTTTACAAGTGAAAATATTTATAAAGATCTCATGTCTAATTTACCAGTTTTGGAAGTAGAGATTCAAAGCCCAAAGGAAGAGAGAGAGGAACTCTGGTAAATTGAGAAAATCCCATATTACATTAATAATTTGGGGGGTATGTTTTATTTGACTTTATCATTGAATTCCAAATAATGTGAGTGGAAAAATTAGTTACAAGCAAGCATTCCCCAAAGTTTATCTTCTGGTATATTGTTACATTTTAAAACTTTTTCTTTTAAAAATAATAATATATGCTTTTCTTTTAAAAAAAATAATTTCATTAATTTCAGAGAGGAAGGGAGAGGGAGAGCAAGATAGAAATATCAATGATGAGAGAGAATCATTGATCGGCTGCCTCCTGCTCGCCCCCTATTGGAGGTCAAGCCCACAACCCGGGCATGTGCCCTTGATCAGAATTGAACCCAGGACCCTGAATCAAACCCAGGACCCTTCAGTCTGCAGGCCGACGCTCTATCCACCAAGCCAAACCAGCCAGGGTAAATATATGCTTTTCATAGAAAAATTTTAAAGCATGAAAAATTATAAGGAGATTATAATAATCCATAATTCCCACCATGGAGAGATATTAACATCTTAAATTTTCTTTCTTGTCTTCTTTTTCTGTATACAAATATATATGTATTTTTTATATAATTAAGACACTGCAGAGAGATTTGTGTTTCTTCTGTTTTATTTAACATTATATCTGACCATTGTTTTATTTTGAAAACCTTTTCCTTTCTGGTCTTTCTTTTGTTTTTTTGCTTTTTGTTAACCTTGTCTTCTAACTCTAGTATTTCTACTTTTTCACCAGAAGTATCTTTCACAGAAACTTTTGAGGGTCGGATAAATGCACTACTCTATTTTTGCATACAAACTAATAGATGCAATAAAATTTTGCATGGGCAAGAGCCTTAAACCAGATCATCGAAAGGAAACAATAGTTGTCAGTTTTTACTTATATGCCATACTAAAGGAATAGCATCAATGAACTGGGAAAATATTGTGTAGGTGTAGCCACATTTATCCTATCTAATAATAGAGAAACATGGTAATTAACCATAACTTCGCTACCTTTCCCATTGGCTAATCAGCAAGATATGCAAATTAACTGCCAGCCAAGGTGGCTGCCGGCAGCCAGGCAGCTGAAGCGAACATGAACATGAGGCTTGCTTACTCCAGGGATGGAGGAAGTCAACGTTCCCCGCCTGCCGCAGTTCAGCTCTGAGCTCCGGATGAAACAATGTTGCAATTATGTACTCCAGGTGGAGAAAGTCAACGTTCCCCGCCTGCCATAGCTCAGCTCTGAGCTATGCATAATTGAACAATGTTGCAATTATAGAACCTAAACAAACCCCAGAAACCTGCTTTCAGCCAGCGCAGCCTCAGAGCTTAAAGCGGCCAGTGATGGCAACAGAGTTTCAATTATAGAATCTAAATAAACCCAGGTACCTGCTTTCAGCCAGCAATGGCCTCAGAGCTGGAGCCTGCTCTCAGCTCCAGTGACAGCTATAGAAGGTAAATTAATCCCAGAATAAAAAAAAAAGAAAAAAGGAGAGGCTGGGAGCTTCAGTCACCCACCAGCCTGAAAACAGCCTTCAGCCCCTCACTCAGACTGGCCAGACACCCCAGTGGGGACCCCTACCCTGAAGGGGGTGTGACCAGCTGCAAACAGCCATCATCCCCTCATCCAGGTTGGCCAGGCACCCAAGCGGGACCCCCACCCTGATCCAGGACACCCTTCAGGGCACACCAGCCGGCCCCCACCCGTGCACCAGGCCTCTATCCTATATAGTAAACGGGTAATATAGAAAATGACCCTAACAGCAGAAGGACTGGGAATGACTGGTCACTATGACACTCACTGACCACCAGGGGGCAGACGCTCAATGCAGAAGCTGCCCTCTGGTGGTCAGGGCACTCTCACAGGGGAGGAGCTCTGCTCAGCCACAAGCCAGGCTGATGGCTGCCAGTGCAGCGGTGGTGGTCGGAGCCTCTCCTGCCTCCTCAGCAGCGCTAAGGATGTCCGACTGCAGTTTAGGCCTGCTCCCCGCTGGCAAGTGGACATCCCCCGAGGGCTGCCGGGCTGCCAGAGGGATGTCTGATTGCCATCTTAGGCCCAATCCCCCTGGGAGCGGGCCTAAGCCAGCAGGTGGTCATTCCCTGAGGGGTCCCAGACTGCGAGAGGGCACAGGCTGGGTTGGGGGGGTCCCCCCCCCGAGTGCACAAATTTTTGTGCACTGGGCCTCTAGTATCTTAATAAATGTTCTAAGAGAGGAGATTGTTTTGCCAGTTTGGGGCCCCTGAATTTCATGTTCTCTTAAAAACTGATTTTTAAATTTAGAGTGAGCTCTGAGTCAAGTTTCACCATCATGAAACCTACCTAGTTGCAGAAGGGTGAAGAACATATTGGAGGGATGGTGATGAACGGGTGTGAGAGTGGTCACAAGAGCAAAGAGCCAAGAAGCTAATCACAGCATTTGGGTTTGCTTTGGGGGGGAGGGGAGAAAAATACAGTTTTGAGCACTAGAATAGTGTACAGTAAAACCTCCATATAATGAACTGATTCAGGCGAGCAGGTGTCTGTTAAAGCCGAAAGTCCATTATGTAATCAAGTACTTTTTCCAAATGTGTATGTTAAAAAATTGATAGATTAGTTAATTTGCCTGTTTTTACTTATATAGACATGTTTGTGTAATTAAAGTTAAGTATGTATGATAAGTTTAATTTCACAGAAAAGTTTTCTATATGTATTACTGTAATTTTAAATTGATATTGAATAGCTTATTGAGGGTTTATAAAATTTTTTCACAAGCTACGTTCTGCCCAGTGCCATACTAAAAGTTGAAAAAGTGAAAAACTCACTTAAACTGGTTGTTTGGGTGTAGACAAAAGTCTATGCTGTGTCATCTTCCTGAATGTGAGTTAGAAAATAAGACTCGTGTGTTTTTAAGGTTTAATTATAAGATAACTGATCTATAGAATTCAAGTTGAAAATCTTTCTTGCAATACTTTCTTGACTGGTAGATTTTTTTCCCCTCCATATTCTGCCAGCAGAATGAGCATTTTGATAGTTTTTTTATTGTTATATTTAACCAAGTTCTGGACTAGGAGAAAGTAAGCTGAAAGAAACTCCAGAGGAGTCAGTAGAGGGCACTTTTCCAAGAAAGAGGCAGGAAGAGGAGGACTTACAACAGAACCAAGATATGAAAAGGGAAGAACAACAATTGACCTGGAAGCCTGAGGAAGCTGTGAGGCTTAAGGAAGAGGTGAGCCATCTACATTAGAGCCCCCCTCAGTCTCAGAGATATGGGGTAATGCCAAGGCAGGTGCCATTTCCTCTGATCAGCTGTGGATTAAAAAATATTTTATATGTATATTTGTTGAACTATATCATAACCACAGCCTGAGGGGTAATAAGATAGCAGCGAAAATCTGAACTAAGCCCCTCATTTGATGCACCTTACTATAAAGGGTTCATAGGCTCCAGTGAGGCTCAACAGGGGGGGAAAAAAACAAACTAATTATCGCTATCTGTCCTGGCAGGTAAGGTAGGGAATGGCAGGATTTGTGCCACATTTTCTATTCCTGGCAGCTAATTTAGATGTACAAAATACTTTGTTTTGGAGAAAAAAAGACCATGATTATAGAATTGTTTTAAATATGGCTTTTGCTATTTACCAGAGATCTGCCTCCAGGAAAAATGAAGGAAATGACTGTTGGCCACACTTCAGTTCTTACACCTCAATTTTACAGGTTAATTCTTTCATTTATTTATTTATTTATGTATTTATTTATTTTCTCACCCAAGGATATTTTTCCATTGATTTTTAGAGATAGAAGAAGAGAGAAGGAGAGACAGAGAGAAATGTGTGAGAGAAACACATCGATTGGTTGCCTCCTGCACGTGCCCCTAGCAGGGTCTGGGCTGGTCGGGAAGGAGCCTACAACCAAGGTACATGCCCTTGGCCAGAATCGAACCCGGATCCTTTAGTTTGCAGACAGATGCTCTATCACTGAGCCAAACCGGCTAGGGCTACAGGTTAATTCTTGTACAAGTTAAGATTTCCCTGCATACACCTTTCTGACAACAATTTTGAGATCCAATAAACAAAATAGATGTGGGTCTCATGGGAAAGAAATAACATATTTTTATTTTGAACTTTACATTTCCCAAAGCACTGTGACACACATAAACACACACACACACACACACAAATTTTCATTTACTTCTTTAAGCAGGCAAGGAAGGAAATACATTTTAGACTGATTTTTTTTTTCTGCAGTGAACTGTGCAGTAGTAATTTCAGAATCTTTTTCTGTGTATAGAGTTCTTTGACCTACTGATGAGTATAGGTTGTTCTTTTTTGAAAGTTCTTGTGTGTGTACAAAGGGTTTTTTGTTTTTGTTTTATGTTTTTTTGTTAATCCTTACCTGAGGATATTTTCCCACTCATTCATTTATTCATTCATTCATTTAGAGTGGAAGGGAGAGGGAGAGACAGAGAGAGGAAAATATCAATGTGAGAGAGACACATCCTTTGGTTGCCTCCTGCATGTGCCCAAACCAGGGCCAGGGATTGAGCCTGCAGTCAAGGTACGCGGTACATATCCTTGATCGGAATTGAACCTGGGACCCTTCAGTCTCTATAATCTGTTGTCAGATTAGAGTGTCTACTATCTAGCGCCTATCCATATGTGTTGTGTCATCTTAATCACGTGCATATTTAAGCAACTGTAGGCTGAGGGTAGACACCAAACTTTAAAGAATGCTTTTACATGGTAAATATATAGAAGAAAGAACTGTGAGAGCCTCTTGAATATGTGAGCTCTGTTGTTCATAAGTATTTGTGGCTGCTGATGGCCTTTGGGGGCTTAATTTCTGCTGTTCAACACTGATGTTGTAATAGCTAAATTCTAGATATTACTTTCCCTATATTCTTGAAACATTCAAACCACCATGAATATCTCAATTTTATTAAAAATAAAATTAAGACATATGATATCTGAATGGATAAAGAAAACAAAACCTAGCTTAAAACCTAGCCTCATGGGTTTTTAATAACATTATTGAATATTTACAATGGTCTAAGCACTCTACTAAATACCCTGTATATATTCAGCAGTACTATGAGGCAGGAATATTATTGTTTCTACTTTATAGGTGAGGAAACTGAGGCTTTACAGAGGTTAGTTTGCCCAGAGTGATAATTTGTGGTGAAATCTGGGTCTGTCTATCCTAGAACTTGACCTTTAAACATTTTTTTAAAATATATTTTATTGATTTTTACAGAGAGGAAGGGTGAGGGATAGAGAGTTAGAAACATTGATGAGAGAGAAACATCGATTAGCTGCCTCCTGCACACCCCGTACTGGGGATGTGCCTGCAACCAAGGTACATGCCCTTGACCGGAATCAAACCTGGGACCCTTCAGTCTGCAGGCAGACGCTCTATCCACTGAGCCTGGTTAGGGCTAAACATTTTTTTATTATAGTTTATATTCAATATTATTTTGTATTAAGTCCAGGTGTACAGCATAGTGATTAGACAGTCATCTACTGTACAAAGTGTTCCCCCTGATATTTCTAGTGCCCATCTGTCACCATACATGGTTATTACAATATTATTGACTATATTTCCTATGCTGTACTTTACATTCCCATGACTTGTCTAACTACTGATCTGTACTTCGCAATCCCTTCACCTTTTTCACCCTGCCCTTCTCCCTGCTGGCAACCATCAGTCTGTTCTCTGTTCTATGAGCTGTTTTCTGTTTTGTTGGTTTGTATTGTTCTTTAGATTCCACATGTAAGTGAAATCATATTTGTCTTTCTCTGACTGACTTATTTCACTTAGCATAGTACTCTCTAGGTTCTCTCTGGTTATTTTTCGTAATGAATCTAGTTAAAGATTTATCAATCTTGTTTATCTTTTCAAAGAACCATATCTTGATTTCATTTATTTTTGTTTTTTAGATGCTGTTTTGTTTATTTACACTCCGATCTTTTAAAAAAATATATTTCTTTTATTTCAAACAGGAAGGGAGAGGGAGAAAGAGATGAAAATATCAATGATGACAGAGAATCATTGATTGGCTGCCTCCTTTAGGCCCCACACTGGGGATCGAGCCTCAACCTACGCATGTGACCTTGCTGGGAATCGAACCGTGACCTCTAAGTTTATAGTTCGATGCTCAACCACTGAGCCATGTCAGCCAGGCTACACTCTGATCTTTATTTTTTCCTTTCTTCTTTTCACTTTGGGCTTTGTTTGTTGTTCTTTGTCTAATTCCTTTAGGTGTGAGATTAGGTTATTTATTTGAGATTTTCCTTGTTTCTTAAGGTAGGCCTGTAATGCTATGAATTTCCCTCTGCTTTCACTGTGTCCCATAGATTTGGGGTTGTGTTCCCGTTTTCATTTGTATCTGATTTCGTCCTTTATCTCCTTGATCTCCTTGTTAATCCATTCATTGTTTAGTAACATATTACTTAGCCTCCATGACTGTGTTTTTAATTTTTTTTCTTGTAATTGATTTACAGTTTCATGTCATTTGGTCAGAGAAGATCCTTGATATGATTTCAGTCTTTTTAAATTTATTGAGACTTGATTTGTGTCATAACATGTGGTCTATCCTAGAAAATGTTCCATGTGCACTTGAAAAGAATGTATATTCTGCTGCTTTGGGGTGAAATGCTCTGAAAATATCAATTAAATCCATCTGATCTAGAGTGTTATTTAAGGCTGCCATTTTCTTTATGGAAGATCTATCCATTGATGTCAATGGGTATTCAAATCCCCTACTATAATGGTATTATTACTGTTAATCTGTCTGTTTAAGTCCATCAAGATTTGCTTTATATGTTTAGGTGTTCCTATGTTGAGTTCATAAATATTTACAAAGGTTATATCTTCTTGTTGGATTGCTCCCCTTATCATTATGTAATGTCCTTTGTCTCTTATTAGAGCCTTTGTTTTAAAGTCAATTTTGTCTGATAAAAGTATTTTCATTTCCATTTGCATGAAATATCTTTTCATCCTTTTAGTCTGTGTATATCTTTCATTCTGAGGTGGATCTTTTGTAGACAGCATCTATATATGGATCTTGTTTTCTCTATCCATTCAGATATCATATGTCTTTTGATCAAAGCATTTAATCCATTTACATTTGAAGTGATTATTAATAGGTACGTATTTATTGTCATTTTATTCTTTCTAACTATGTACTTCTTTTTTAAAATTTCTTCTTCTTAGAGAAGACCCTTTAATATTTCTTATAATACTGATTTGGTGATAATGAATTCCTTTAAATTTTTCTTGTCTGTGAGGCTCTTTATTTCTCCTTCAATTTTAAATGATAGCCTTGCTGTGTACGGTAGCATTGTTTGTAGGTCCTTGCTTTTCATCACTTTGAATATTTGGTGCCAATCACTTCTGCCCTGAAATATTTCTTTTGAGGAATGAGCTGACAGTCTTATGGGAGCTCCTTTTTAGATAACTTTTTCTCTTGCTGCCTTTAAGATTATCTCTTGGTCTTTAACCTTTGGCATTTTAGTTAGGATGTGTCTTGGTGTGGGTCTCTTTGAGTTCATCTAGTTTGGGACTCTTTGCGCTCCCTGGACTTGTGTATCTATGTTTAACTGCTTTTGTTCACATAATTTCTTTGATATTTTACTCTAATATAATGGAAGTTAAAGTATATAAACATGTACCAACTAACATGTGAACAACCACATTCTGACAATTCTGGTTATAACAGCTGGAACCCATGTTTCACCAATATTCTTTCAAATTGTCCATGTTTCTCTTTTCAAATGTTTGTTTTAGAATCTATCATCTAAAGAAAAACTGAAATACCAGCAGCAGCAAGAAGAAGTACAACAACTTCGCCAGAATTTGCACCGGCTCCAGATTCTCTGCAGCTCAGCTGAAAAAGAGCTCCGATATGAGCGGGGAAGGAACTTGGACCTAAAGCAACATAATAGCTTACTTCAGGAAGAAAGCATTAAGGTAACTCTAGTGGGCACATCCTTTAGTGATGGGTCTCAATTATTCAATTGGCCCTGGGAAAAAATGAATCAGAATTTCTCAACTTTATAATTCATGATAGTGTCCATAGGTGGTGGACAGGTTAACGTTTTTAACTTTTCCCTACCAAGTAGGTACACAGCTCAGTTGTTTCTCTGCTGCTGAAGGTGTATGTATGTTGTCAACCTGTAAATATGAAAAGTTTTAAAGTAACACAATCTTTTGAAATTATCCCCTAAAATTGTAGCAGTTATTAAATTTCAATGACCTGAGCCCAAACCCTGGTTGTCCTGCCCTAGTTCTATGTCTAGGCTTATTTATCTCTAATAAACAAGATATTGGTTGACTCAAATGTCAGCTGCATCAAGGTATAATTCATAGGAGGGCAGAGCTGTTCTTCCTGACACAAGAGCATCTAAAGTTAGAGACCATCCCCCAAACATGCTTGTTTGAAAATATTAAACTGCCATCCACATATTCATCTAAATTGTATAAACCGCATAAATGCTCAATTTGAACGACCATGTAAAATAGTCATACTTCCTTTTTATTGTGCTTCAATTCTGTAAATATATAAGTATCTAGTTTCTGTGAGCCCCTAGCTAAGATTTTTGTTTTCAATAAATATCTGTTGAGCATCAGTCATGCACTGGGTAGGATCTTGTTGATATGAGGGTTTAATGATAGGCAAACAGACACAGTCCTTATCCCCTGGTGCAGGGGTCAGCAAACTTTGGCCGTTGGGTCAAATCCTATCTGCCTTCTGTTTTTGTAGATAAATTTATTTACAAAACAAACATATCTGTTTGTTTACATGTTATCAATGGATTCTTCTGTACTACAATAGCAGATTTTTGTAGTTCTGATAAGATTACAGTATTTACTATCGGGCAGCCCTTTATAGGAAAAATTTGCCCACCCCTGGTGTTGTAGGATAAAAGCCCGGCTGGCGTGGCTCAGTGGTTGAGTGTCAACCTATGAACCAGGAGATCATGGTTAGATTCCCTGTCAGGGCATATGCCCAGGTTGTGGGCTTGATCACCAGTGTGGAGTGTGCAGGATGCAACTGGTCAATGATTCTCTCTCATTATTGATGTTTCTCTCTCTCTCTCCCTCTCCCTTCCTCTCTGAAATCAATTTTTTTAAAAGTGACATAAAGATAGATTAAGAAAGATCCATACTTTTTAGGAGCTCACAGTCTAGTAGGGCCGATGTAGAGGAAAACGAATAGTCATTTATTCTAAACTTCAAGGGAAGCTCTTCTAGGAGTTCTAGTATTTCAGGGTTATTTGAATAAACCTCATGATCTTTTGAATATTGGTCATATTCCCTCAAGCCTTTATAGTTTTAAATTAAATTCATCACATTTCCTTGTAAGACAGCCTTTTAACTTTCCCTTCACCACATTTCTTATACTATTTTAATTGTCCAACTTTAAACATATTCAAGCACTACTACATCTTTTTCAAGGTGCAATGATCAGAAAAACACAGATCATGATGCTTTATATATGTTTGGCATCCTATAAATATTTTTTGAATTAATGAACAAGTTTTTCAGGTGTAGGTAAATGATACTTTGGTAAAAGGAGAAGATATTTTTTGTCCTGTTTCAAATTTCCTTCATGGTGGGGTAAAATATTGGCCTTTCCAGTAATGAGATATCAGTCTTTGTCCTGGTGCCCTAGGCCAGGTACCTATGCAAAGTACACAATCGCCAGTTACCTTTTATTGATAGTTCGTTCACTTTGTCCCTTATAAACTTCCCACAACCCTAGAAAGCCAGCATTTTATGGATGGGAAAACTGTTCAAGATTGAAAAGCTAACAAATTATGGAATCAGATGTAAATTCACATTTAGTTCTCTCTTTCCTCTATCGAGTTATCATTCCTCTCTTCATTTTGAGGTCATTTTGAAACCTCAGCTTTGCAAATGTAGAGCTCACTTTTTAAAATCCACTCGGAGATGTTCAAACTCTGGGTCTGGCTAAGATAAGCATATGTATGAGACTGATTTAAAAAGCATAATACAGGCAGTCCTCGGGTTACGTCAGACTCGACGTACGTGGTTACGTCGTTTCGTGGTTACATCGCCATCTCCCATTTACTGTATTTATATTTTAAAAAGTTACGTCATTTTGACATATGTGCATATGTGCTTTATGTTTTTTATTATTTATTTACCACGAGTAAAGGTCAGGAATTGTTATCTTTCTTTAATTTTTTTTTTCCTGTTTCACTTCATTACTGCTGTGTACGTGCTCCATGTGAGTGACGTAGGTGCTTATGTAGGGGGCTTCCGACTTATGGCGAAAATCGCATTATGTCGCCCTAGAAACGGATCTCTGATGTAACCCGAGGATCTACTATACTTGTTAATTGCTTTTAAACCATTTTATTGTGAAATATAGCACATAAATATATAGTTTAATAAATTGTTGTAAAAGTGATTATCTATGTAACCACCACCCAGGAAAAGAAATAGCACATTGCCCGTGTGCCAGCAGCCCCTGAATGCTTCTTGTATTAACTTTGGCACATCTTATTTTTCTAAAATATTGTCTTTTTCATTTAAATTGAAAATTTTTTATAGAAACTTATTCATAAAAATTTTAAATATAGCAATGGTCCTTTTTAATTTCATGATACTAGTTACCCTTTGTTGCTTTTCTCTTAATCAGTTTCACTAGTTTATCCATTTTATTAGACTTTTCAAGAACTAGCTTTGTTGGTAAATAAAAAATACAGGCATTTCACCTGGCTGATGGGACTCAGTGGTTGAGCGTTGACCTAGGAACCAGGAGGTCACAGTTTGATTCCCGGTTGGGGCACATGCCCAGGTTGTGGACTTGATCTCCAGTGTAAGGAGTACAGGAGGCAGCCAATTGATGATTCTCTCTCATCATTGAGGTTTCTCTCTCGCTCCCTCTCCCTTCCTCTCTGAAATCAATAAAAATATTTTATTAAAAATCCAGGCATTTCACAATTGTGAGGCAGTTTAGTATTAAATACTGGGCTAGAATCAGAAATCTGTATTCAGACCATGTTTCTATCATTTGCCAACTATACTTGAGACTTAGTTTTTTCATTTAAAATGGAGTAAAGTACAAATCTCAGCTACTTCATTGATATGAAAGCCTAACCAACATACAGTAGTTATAGTAGTATCTGCCTCAGTTCTGTACTTCAAATACAGTAGATATTCTATAAGTGATTCTTTCTTTTAATTATTTAAATTCTTTATTGTTTAAAGTATTAACATACGTCTCCTTGTAAGTGATTCTTGAAGAACAACAGCTAACTTGTATTAGGTATTACATATGTGGCTATTTCTATTCTTGATGCTTTCCTTGCTTTATTTTATTAAGTGTAACTTTCCAACTGTCCTATGAGTTAAGTAGTTATCTCCATATTACAGATGAAGAAACATACTTAGAGAGGTTAAACATTATTAACTTTTAAGTCATTTGATAAAATCTGAATGGTTAATATGCAGAAATTACAAGTGGAGGAAATTACAGTTATCATCCCTATTAATTAGTTGAAAAGCTTTGAGCCCAGGAAATTCTGTTTTACATAAAGTGAAGTAAGTTCTAGCTCAGCATTTTTGTCTCTGAGTCCTACCTACTATGTCCATTTACAGGTTCTAATATTCCTTAGAATGTCATTCATTCATTTATTTGTTCAGTAAATATTAATTAATCACCTACTTTAGGCACGTTGATAGGCGTTGGATACTAAGAAATGAATAAAACACATGGGAATTTAGAGTGAAGAAGAAGGATGTGAAAGAGTAGATAAATACATGTTTAATTATAAATGGTGATAAGTTCGCTGAAAGAAATAAATGTGGTATAATAGGTAAGTAAATAAGGAGACCTCTTCAGATTAAATGATCATGGAGGTTTTCTCTTACAGAGTGCCTTTTAAGCCAAGACCTGAGAAATAGACAGGAACCAACTGGACCATGAGGAGAGGGGGCAGGGAATACATTTCTAGCAGAGGGAAGAGTGGAGTCTGGTGTGTTGGAGACTCTAAATAGAAACCAGCAGGACAGGAGGTCAGTGGAAGAAGGGGGGAATGACAGGATGGTTTTAAAGAAGTTGGCAAGGGCTGGGTCACCCAAGGCCAGGCAAACTGCTGGGGTTTGTTCCCGGAGTGATGGGAAGCCACTGAAATATTTAAGGAGGGGTGTCAAGTAGTTCAATTGATGTTTTGAAAAGAACCCTTGGGCTGCTGTGCAGAGAGCAGATTAGAAGGGAGTAAACATGGAAACGGCAGGACCGGGCTGAGGCTCTTGCTATGGTCAGGGCTAGAGATGATGATCTAGAGTCGTGACACAAACGACTCAAATGGATTGATGCAAGATCCGTTGTGGAGGCAGAGTGACAGCTTGCGCTGAATTGGCTCATAATGGAAAAGGAAGACTCAAGGGTAACTCTCAGGTTACTGGCCTACACAGGGTAGATGGTGACATCATTGACTATAGTTACGAAGACTGAGAGAAAAACCATCTTGGAAATGTGGGCAGATCAAGGAATTTCACTTAGGCAGTTACTTGGCATCAAGGTGGAGTTTTATTTTAAATCATGAGGATGAACCAAGAGAGAGTGATTCACTCTCAAGGCCCAGGGGTTTGATCCAATAGCATTTAGAAGTTGGGTGGCATTAGAGCAGTCAACAGAAGAGACCAATAAGGAACAGAAGAGAGGTAAATGGAAATCATGGGAGTTTGGTATCACGGGCTCCAAGAGAGGAGGAGAACTTTCTGAGAGGGAGGGAGTGGATGCCACTGAGAGGTCAACTGTCCATTGGCTCTACTTTGGCAATAGTGCCCTTAGCAAAAGCAGCTTCCCAGAGTAGCGGGAATGAAAGCCAGCCTGGAGTGATAGAAAAAAGGATGGAAAAATATTTAGAGCATGCATGTATCGACACTCTTAGGAAAATCCCTTTGTCCAGCTGCCATCTGGAGAGACAGACTTTGGGAAACCTTACTGGCACGTGGCAGCTCCAGAGAGAAAATCAGCCACATGACATTGGTGTTCGTCAGCTCTTGGGGGACAGCATTCCTCTGAAAGCTGCTTATTCTGGCTCACGATCACAGTCACCCCATGCTTATTCCCTTCACTGTTATTTATTCCCCACCTCTAGCTCAAAATTGAACTCAGGCAGGCCCAGCAGAAGTTATCGGACAGCGCAAGGCTGTGCTCTCCACCCCCAGCAGAGTGGAAGCACTGTCAGCAGAAAATCAAGGAGCTGGAGCTGGAAGTACTGACACAGGCTGAGAGCATTAAATCACAGAACACCCTGAAAGAAAAGCTGGCTCAGGAGAAATCCAAAGTTGCTGATGCAGAGGAAAAGGTAATTATCCTCACACAGAATAAGTAGCATGCGCGGGATACTACTACTGAAATCCGTTTCCCTAAGGACTGTAAGAAATAGACACGGTGCGAACTTGATAGAATTCTCGGGTTTCTCTTTACTCCCTCATGCTTTCCTCCCTTCAACTTCATCTGCTCCTATAATTCCAGTAAATTTTGTGTATTTTTTCAAACTGCATAAACCTATAAAGGTGTTTCACCCAATGACTTTCCTTTTACACATGCAAATTTTAAAAGTCCAGTCTCTTCTCATTTGGATTGGTGTTTACATGATTTTTATTTTGTAATTTCTGGAATGACTTGGGAAATGAGCCATTTTGGAATGTTGCCCCTGCATTTTGGACTGCCTGACGCCAGGTGGCAGTAGGATGTAACAGGTGCACATTTTTCATCTGTAAGTTTGTCTGAGTTGAATTTTATATTTTAAAAAATGTCATTTTATCTAACTCTATAAATATAAAACTAATACCAAGAAGTAGACGACAGCAATCTGAATTAAACTCAAAAGCCTAATATTCACTAAAGAAGCCAGCACGAAAGAGTTCATACTGTGTAATTTCATTTATATAAGGTTCCAGAACAGAGAAACTAAGCTATGGTGATAGGTTCATGGCTGTCTCTGTACGGCCTTTTATCTGGGCGGGGACATGCAGGAATCTTCTGTCGGGCTACAAGTATTCTATATGTTGGCCTGAGAGGTGGTCCTATAAGTAAAAGTGTATTGCATTTACACTTTACTGCATGTGTTATTGCTCCATGAAAAAGTAATTGATAAAGATTGGTAAAATTTAAAATTTAGACACTACTAAATATTGGTGAGGGTTCTGTGCAGTAGGAGCTCATACTGACTACAGTTGGAAGAGTAAATCCAAATAAACACTTCGGAAAACAGTTGGATGGTGGTTTCTAGTTAAGTTCAAGATTATATACTATACAACCCCACACTTGTACTACTAGGCATAAACACTAGAGAAGCTATTATACGGCACATAAGTATCCGAAGGCAGGAATTCAGCCATTTTCATGTAACAGTGTTTGGAAAAGCAGAAAATTGGAAACAACACAAATGCCCACTGATATGAGATTGAGTAAATAAATTATATATTTACACAACAGTATGCAACAGCGAAACTGAATTAATTACAGGTACATGCTGAGTTCAATGTAATATTGAATAAAAACCAGGCCAGGAAAATCACAGTATGATTCCACTGATATAAAGGTCAAAAGAGTACAAAATGAAAGCCATGTCATATAGAGAGGTATATTATGGGGTTTTTTTTTACTTTTAATTTCTTTATTGATTCAGATATTACATATGTGTCTTTATCCCCCACTACCCTCCCCACACTCATGCCCTCACCCCCCTGTTGTCTGTGTCCATTGGTTAGGCTTATATGCATGCATACAAGTCCTTTGGTTGATCTGAGAGATATATTGTTAAAATAAAAAGCAAAGAAATGATTGACACACAAGTCAAGATATTGGTTTTCTCAGGTGGAGCAGGAAGGATATAATTAACGAGGGTCACAGAATGGACTTCAGAAGTTTTGGAAATGTTCTTTCTTAAATTGGGTGGTGAGTTCAAAAGTTTGGCATCTGTCCTTGACAGCGAAGCCAGTGGGGTGATACTTTCTTCTGTGGAATTAAGACTGAATATCTTTAAGTTAGTATTTCCCCTGAGCAGTTCAAAGGAACTAGACCCGGCCTCTGCCATTGCCCTGAATCATTCTGCTTCTTCACCTCTCCTACGGTGTATGGGTTCTGCAAGGTCCTAAGTGCCAGGGTTTAGGGCTGATGCAGAAAGATCTCTTAGAAAAGGTCTGCCATACACTGGCATTCACTGAATGTTTGTGGGGAATGTGGTGTCAAACTATTGTAAGGGACTCATCGTTGGGTCAGGAATACAATAGAGGGAGAACAGCTATTCTGCTGAAATCTAATCATTCAGCAAATATTTATTGAACACTTACTATGTACCAGTTACAAATGTAGGTGACACAAAGGCTTATAAAAATAAATAAACAAGTTTTGCCAGGCCGGTGTGACTCAGTAATTGAGTGTTGACCCAGGAACCAAGAGGTCGCCAGTTTGATTCCCAGTCAGGACACATCCCCGGGTTGCAGCTCGATCCCCAGTAGAGGATATGCAGAAGGCAGCCCATCGATGTTTCCCTCTCCTTGATGTTTCTATCTTTCTATCCCTCTCTCTTCCAATCTCTCTAGAAATCAATAAAAAATATATTTTTTAAAAAGTAAACAAGTTTAAAAGGACATTTACCTAACAAAAATATCTTAATGACACTTTTAATCTAACTTGTAAATTCTAAAATAAAATTATATATCTCTCTTTCACATTCATTAATCTTACTTTAGAATGACCAGGGTATTAAAGAGCCTATTACTGGTGCTAGGCAATATGCTAATTGATACTTGGTTTGTAAGAGACTTTGACTTTGTTTTGAGATATTATTCATGAATGTAGCCACACTGTGAGAAACCAGACACTCTTACACAATCCTGTTAGAAGTGTAAGTTGGTCTAATACATATAGGGATAGTTTGGCCTTATCTGTCAAACAAACAAATAATAACCTTTGCCCTGGCAAATCCACACCTCATAAATTATTCTAGAGACATTGTTTATAATAGCAAGAGATTGGAATTAACCTAAATGTCCACCAGTAGGAGGTTAATTAAATAAGTTATGGTATATTCTTACAGTGGGATGGTATATGGCTATAAAAGAGAGCACACATATATATTCAGGATTGGGCAAAAGTAAGTTTATAGTTGTGAGTATGCAGAACACAAGTTTATTCTTATATTATTATTTATTAATTATTGTATTCTTTTCCATACAAACAACTATAAGCCTACTTTTGTCACACGCTGTACTTATAATATGGAAAAATCACTGATTGTGTGATCAGATTGTGTACCAGTACTATTGTGTTTGTTATTTATATCATATTTCCTTAATGGAAAATAGGTCACATTTTTCTTTAAAGTTTTATTTGTAAACTTTTTTCATTCAAGATTTTGGATCTACAGCAGAAATTAAAACAGGCTCATAAAGTCTGTCTCACAGATGCTTGTATTTTGGGAAAGAAGCAACTAGAGGAAAGGATAAAAGAAGAACAACAAGAAAGGTAAGAGGAGCAAAGATGTCAGCTTCTCATGGGCTAATCTTGGTTGAGTTTACCAGCAGTGTCTTCTCACCAATGTTTCTTCTTGTGCCCCCCCCCCCACTGAAATAAACTCACACTCTTACCAGTATATTTCGCACTTACCTCCTTGTGTACTAATAATTTCTTTCCTTGTTTGCCTTTCACACTAGAGTATGGGATCTTTTTTTTTTTTTAAGAATTTTACTGATTTTTAGAGGGAGGGAGAGAGAGAAACATTGCTGTGTGAGAGCAAAACATCAATCAGCTGCCTCCTGCAAGCTCCCACCAGCGATCGAGCCCACAACCCAGGCACATGTCCCAACTGGAAACCGAACCGCAACCTTTCAGTGCAAGGGACAACAACCAGCCAACCAACCAACCAACACACCAGCCAGGCGAGTGTGGGATTCTTAAGGCAGGGATTCTTTCTTGTTGTTCAGGAACACACTCGGTGCACCAGTATATTTTCTTGAATGACTGAATTGCCTAGGAAATAGCATACTCTGGGATTTGTTTTTCTAATTCTAACATGATTAGCACAAAATGCAGACTAGAATGAAGTTGGTGTTTTGTATTTATGAGCTGATTTTCTTCAAAGAAGTTCCAGGTACTTTACAAGCATCTTAATCATCAACAAGTTGCTACCAGATATGAGCTGTCATATTTTTTTCTAAAATTATTAGATTATTAGGATCTCACTTAAATTACCTTAGATGCCCTAACTCCAGTAATTGATGCTTCCTACTTCTGTAGCACTCAGTGTGATTTACATATATTTTAAGAAAAATATTATTTTAGACAGTGAAAAGATATACAGACATCCACATATACTATGAAGCTCAGAAACTTACTTTCACCTCCAATTAAAAGCTCTAGCACAGGGCTTGACACTCAGTAGGTATTCAGTAAATATTTAGTGAACAAAAAAATGTTTGAGTAAGTGAATGAATGAATGAAGGTGAAGATGAATAATGAATTCACTTAGTGAGGTATAGTAGAAAAATAGTTATATGACTATCACTTCTAGCAGGATGATAGGCTATCCTCCTGTTATAATACAACTAAATTCTGAATAAACTACAATAAGAATGCCTTTTTAAGCATTACTCACAAAGCAAGAGAAAGCCTGAAAGGGAAACATACAATGAGGTAAAAGAAAAATGATGAATGGTAAAAAAACAAACACAAAACTCCTACCTCATAGAATCATTGTGTAAATTAAATTAGTTATAAGCAGTTGGTTTGTATCAGTGTCTAGCGCATAGTAAGCACTTGTATCAGTCAGGGTTCAATTGGAGAAGTAGAACTGTTAGTGGTAATATTGGCCCTCAGTTCTTGACTTCATGCAGGAAAGATTCACAGCACAAGTCCAGATGATTTTGAGAGTTTAAAGCTAGGGACAGTGAAACAGAGGAAGAGCTTAAGATAGAAGAGGCAAGATCATAGCAACAGGAGTGAGCCTGGGTGAGTGAGCCTTGACCCTCTAGAAGGAAAGTTCACAGAGGCAGAAGAAGTGAGCTACAAGAGCACATATTCCAACTTTCCAAGAGAAAAAAACAAAATGCTTCTCTTCTGCCCTCCAAATCTTCTACAAAATATGTCTTGTAGCCCACTCTAACCAGAAACATGCATGGACAGAATTCCTAGCCAAGTTGACACATTAGGAAGACTCTACTAAAAAGTGTTGTTGTTGTTGTTGCATTATCTGATGTAATTATTACTGTTGCCCTAACCGGTTTGGCTCAGTGGATAGAGCGTCGGCCTGAGGACTCAAGGGTCCCAGGTTCGATTCCGGTCAAGGGCATGTACCTTGGTTGCAGGCACATCCCCAGTAGGGAGTGTGCAGGAGGCAGCTAATCAATGTTTCTCTCTCATCGATGTTTCTAACTCTCTATCCCTCTCTCTTCCTCTCTGTAAAAAAATCAATAAAATATGTTTAAAAAAATTAAAAAATTATTACTGTTACCGTCATCATCACCATCATTATCAGTGAAGTGAAAAATGTTCGTTTTGGCTAGAACAAAATGGGGATTAGGAGAGTGACAAGAAAATGAAGCTAGAAGGGTAAGCTAGGCCTGGTTGTGATGAGCCTACCTGGCCACATTGAGTTTGGACATGTTCATGGGGGATAATGGTCTGCAGTTTTCCTATTTGAAATATCCTTATCTGGGTTTGGTATTAGTATAATGCTGCCTATTAGAATTAGTTAGAAAGTATCTCCTCTTCAATTTTTCTGAAAGAGATTATAGATAATTGGTATCATTTTGAAACCGTACAGCCAATGGTTCTGGGCTGCCTTTCACTACTTGAGCCAATTAAGCAGAGACATGTATGTGTGTTTATGCCAATAATGGGAGAGCAGCAGGTCATCCACAAAAATCTGCTCTGCACTCCTTCCCCCCATACGCCAGTTGTTATATGGAGTAGGACAAAGATTACATGGGAAAGTAGGCAGAAGGGATAAGAATGGGTATGCAAAATAAAAATGGGCAAGCAGGGATGGGGAATAGGAAAAAAGAATAAAATTGGGTGTAACGGTTACAGGTTACAGACAATGCCTGCTGGGGATTTGCAAAGGATGGTGCCTCCAGTCTCGCCTGGCAATAAGGATATTAATCTTTCCATGATAATAGGCAGCTCTCTGATGAGGAAGATGGGCCGCATTTCCAGGTTAGCTCCAAGGTCCAGGGGACTTACCATTCCCAGCCAGCATAGAATGTGCTTTCTTTAATCAGAACAAAACAATCACGATTAACAGAGCATAATTAATATTTCTTATAACTATAGCTAGTTTCCACTATTCTATTTCTCCCTCCCATCCCTAACAATTGTTAATGTAAGAAATACATTATTCAAACCTACAAAGAATTTTTGTGAGTTTATTTGAGCCAAACTGTCAACTATTTCCAGGAAGCAGAATCTCAACACACTGAGACAATACAGTGCTCCAGAGAATGGTGGTTTTTCACCTATTTTCATAAATTACCATCAAAGAAGGAGAAAGTGGGTTACATGAAATCCATTGGTGATAGATTAGGGAGGTGGGAGAAAGCAAAGGGGAGGGAGTTACTTCTGGGATTGGATAAAAAGTAAAATGATAGGCAAAGGGGAGAGTTACTTCTGGGATTAGATAAAAAGTAAAATGATAGACACATGCTTCTTTTACCTTTAGGTGAGCATAGGATAGTTAACAGTTAACAATTAACACATAACTATTAACACAAATAGCGAGATCAGTGAGGGAATTTGTGGCCCTTAGCGCATTGGTTGTGCCCTGAGGGGTCCGGAAAAAAGGGAAATTACAAGTTACCCCAACATTCCAAAGGCATGTTATCTAGATGCAAAAAGACAATAGGCTCCATTAAGATCAAAGTTGATCTTTGTGGAGGAGGATACCAGCCTTGGACATGAACTACCCACCAAAGACTGTTTTTTAAATTGATTTCAGAGGGGAAAGGAAAGGGAGACAGAGAAAGAAACAATGATGAGAGAGAATCATTGTTTGGCTGCCCCCTGCACACTTCTACTGAGGATTGAGCCTGCAACCTGGGCATGTGGCCCTGACCAGGAATCAAACCATGATCTCCTAGTTTATAGGTTGATGGTCAACCACTGAGTCTCATTCATTCTACAAAGT